GAAATTAAAAATTAAGGACTTAATCGAGGTTCTAGATGTGACAACTGTTCACGTACATTTACTAAGATTTGAAATATGACTTCATTGGGCCCTTTCGGAAAATACTTTCGCCGTTAGCAGGACTATCCGCTTCTCTCCGGAGCCACTGACACCTGAGCAACATTCACGTGGCCAAACATGTGCTCTGACTTGTCCTACGACTGTTGGGAAAGAGAAATGGAGTAGAAATGAAGATTTCCATATAAAAGATGAGAATTGAAGTCCTATGACCATTAATGCAGTGGATCCATGGGAAGTCAAAGATCTCCATGGTTCATCAAAAGAGCTCCGGACTAGGAGCAACTAGTCATGAGTTCAAATCCAAGCTGTGTGGCCTTGGGCACAACAATTAACCTCTCTGAGCCAGTTTCCTCATTTCTACAATGAAGAGAATAAGATCTACCTCACAGTATTTTTGTAAGATTAAAGAAGTATAAGCAGAATATAAAACCAGTTCCTTCCAATATTCACATTTACAAAATGACAGGGTCTTGAGGACTTCCCTGGCGGTCCAGTGGTTAAGACTCTGCACTCCCCCTGCAGGGGGCACGGGTTTGATCCCTGGTCGGGATACTAAGATCCCACATGCCGCGTGGCATGGCCAAAAAAAAAAATTGTTTTTAAAAAATGACAGGGTCTTATACGTTGGCTTCTAGCGTGAATAGACAACATCCTTTGCAAAGGCATCACTAGTACCTTATCCAAAAATTCTTCCATTAAACAGAAATGAGCTAAGCAACTAAAAGGTTTGAGGCTCCCTGTACTAAACCAGAGCCCAGTTCTCAATTTTGACTGCAAACCCTCCGGACCATCTCTGTCCTGCTAAGGACCATCTCTGTCCTGCTAATAGGGACACACTGTCTCATCTCTTTCTCGCCTTCTCCCCATTCTCAATTTAAAGGTGACCACATTCCACATAAAACCCACAACAGCCCTCTGTCTTCTCTGTTTCCTTTTAAAATAATTTTTTTTGATGTGGACCATTTTTAAAGTCTTTATTGAATGTGTTACAACAGTGCTTCTGTTTTATGTTTTGGTTTTTTGGTCAGGAGGCATGTGGGATCTCGGCTCCCCGACCAGGGATTGAACCTGCACCGGAAGGCAAAGTCTTAACCACTGGACCACCAGGGAAGTCCCTCCGCTTCCTTTTAAAGTTCTCATTATGTCCTTCAGAAGGCCCCTCAGATGCGGGATCCTGTCATCTGATGCTAAAGAGATCGAAATCATCTGGGGTAGTTCCAAAGGCCGGAGCTAGAACAGGTGGGGTGGATTTAGAGGAAGGTTCCAGCACTGCATATGGAATATGTTTGGAACAGTGGCTGCTGGTTAGCTGGGAGGCAAGCTTCTAAAGCAGGCAGCTCTCCACCAAGGAAGCCCAAGCAGAATATCTCACCCACTGTTGCCTGACTGAACCTCCGAACATCAAATGATTTTATTCAACACTTACTGAGTGCTTTCTGTGTCCTAGGCACTAGAAATGCAAGCCCTCAGTCTCTCCGCTGGAGATACGGACCCGCAAGCAGGTAGGTATAAAACAGTGTGGTAAGTAAAAATATAGAGAAATTACAGGGAGCACTGTGGGGTGGACCTAACTCAGGAAGTGGACCTCACTCAGGTGGGCTCTTCCTTCTGGAGGAGGTGACACCTCGGCAGTCTTAAAGGATGGAGTAGGGAGGCAGTGAGGGGCAAGACGGGGGCAGTGTAGAAAGGGCATTTGGGGCAAAAGGAATCAGCATGAGCAAAGGAACAAATGTGACCAACAGAATGGTTTATGAGAGGCACTCCAGGCAGCTAGATAATGCTAGAAGAGCACATGAGGGTGGGGAGGGGTAGGACACAGGCTGGAGCTACAGACAGGAGCCAGGGCACGGGGCCCCTGTAAACTGCATTCTGCAGGGTGGAATTCTGGGTCCCTGTGTTTTTAAGCACAAGAGTGCTTACAACACCCTAAAGGTTTTACGCACGAGTGACTTAAGTTTCTATCATCTTCGATTCAGGAGGTTTTCGGTTGTTGTCTTTTATTTTTCCCCCAAAGGGAAACTGCAGGACAGCCTTGCGAGCTGCCCTAATTGAGCTTCAGGAGCCTCAGGGTCAGAACAGCCCTACCTGACTAACTACGGAAGGCAAGCACCCAGCTCCTTTGGTCCCCTGCCTCTTCCTCTATCTGCTGGGCCTCTTGGTAACACTAACTTTCTAAAGAGGCGATGTGGGCACAAGGTGACTCAGCATTACAGAGTGCTTGGAAGCAGCCAGAAGTCCACGTTGAGCCCTGAGCATCTTTCTGCAGTGGGCACACTGGCTGGGAGGCAGGTCTTGGGGGGGCAGGTTTGCTGCAGTGTGCTCCAGAGCCTGCCAGCATGGCAATCTGGCGGCTTCTCCCCCTCTCTCCTTCCTTGCCTCCTTCCTAATAGCCCCTGGCTCCTGGCTGACTTGACTGGACACTGCGGTGGGAAGGGACGGGCAGCACAAAGTTGTCTTGCAGAGAAAAGCATCCTTCCAGTTGTGCTCAGCCACTGGGCCCTTCCCACCTCCCCAGTCGGGAACTCTGGTCTCCTGTGCTTTTCTGAACCACTGTACCTCTCACCTCTGGAGCTGCCATTTGGAGTTATTCCCTCCCACCCCACCAGCTCCTTCCTCTTTCCCCATCCTATTTTACCTCTCCAGTCCTATCCCTCATTACCAGGGTCCACGGTCTCCACTGCCTATGTGAAGGTTCTGTCCATTTCCTCCCTGCTGAATGAGTCATGCTCCTTTGGGCTCCTTCAATAACTGCATAAATGGCTCTGCTCCACACCCCGGCCCCAAACCTTCCTTGATCACTCCTTCATACCCGACCCCTCCCTTCCATCACTCCTCTTTATTCTGAGCACTTGAGTCATCTACTCACTGAGTCATCTACTCACTTGTACTGGGTTAGCTGCCCCAACCACTCCCCACACACTAATCCCTGACTCAGCCACGCGTTTCTCACACAGCATGTCCCCTCTGCTGGGAATGTCTTTGTCCTTGTCTCCCTTCTGAACTCTGCCTCATCCTCCCAGGTAAAGTACAAACGTCACCCTGACCCAAAGGCTTACCCCGTCACCTCCAAGACGGATTAAATCTAATAAGACTTCTTCTACCCTTTTAAACTGAGGATGTTTTGCTTATGTCATAATAACAGCTAGGACTGATATACCAGGCACGAGAACCTTATATGGAGTAATTCATGCAATCCTCAAAATCACCCTGTTATTACCTCTAAGTCAACCAGCCCAAGTTTACAGCAAGTCAGTGGAAGAACAGGCTTAAACCCAGGCAGCGTGGCTCTAATCAGAGGTGTCGCCACCTCGTCACCCAGCAGACCAGGAAGCCTTTGAGTCCCAGAGCTACGCTCTGTTCCCCTGGCACCCCAAGTGCCTGGCACACAGTGGGTGACTACTAAATGTGGTGGTTCTGGATTTAACTGAAACTTGTTCAGCATGCATCCCACGTCTTCCTCACATGTATGTTCTGTCTCCCCAAGCCATCCATGAGATCCTCGGTGAGAAAGGACCAGGTCATCTATTTTCCTCACAGGTCTGCAATCACATGCATACTGGGGAACTGGGGGAAACGCAGAGAGCTCTAGGGGTGCAGATGGGGGCAAACTAACTTTAGGTTACTATATGCCTTAAGTGTGTATACTTTACAAAGGCTTTTTCACATGCCTGATCTCAAAGGTTCTGACATCAACAGGCTGTGGAGAAGGTAAAGAGACGGAGGTGCAGATGGCCTGAGAGCTGGTCAAGGTCTTAGAGCCAGAAATAACTGAATGATATTAAAGAAATTACAACCCAGGGCTCTGAATAAAACAGCTGAACGCCAGTCCCCTGCTCACAATGCCTAGGCAGCTGTGGCCATCAAGAATGGGCAGGCTGATGTAAGTCAACTATATTTCAACTAAAAAAAGTAAAACAAGAAAAGATCAAGGTCAACCAGTTCTAAAAAAAAAAAAAAAGAATGGGTGGGCTGAGTGTTCAGCTCCTCCCCCAGATCGGGTGTCCTTGGTTGCTGGGACAGGGGAGCCTGGCAGGGTGTTCTCCACAGGAGGCTGGCTGCGCAGACCTAGGGCAGGGTGTGTGAAGGCAGCTTCAGCAGGACCTCTGGGAGCCTCTTGGAGTGTTTGGTCACTCTCACCAGACAGAACAGAAAACCCTGAGAGATGACACACTTTCCAAGTGGTCTGATAATATAGATATGAAGAGCCAGGAGAAACAGGTTTGTTCTTCCCATTAGTAGGAGGTAGTCAATGTCCCTACTATTTGTAACTATCCCATCGCATTTCTAAAAATCCATACCTTTATTTCATTGTCCTAACCCAACATTAACTTCAGATCGAATTTACTCAATGTCCTGTGCAGAAGGGAAGGCTTTTCAGGCTCAGGTGGCCTCTGCAGAAGAAAAGCTTTTTCCTAGTAGGAAGGGCAGTGAACTTCTAGCCAAAAGACCTGCCCCATCTTTATGCAAGTCTCATCGCCCCGCTGAGCCTTGATCTCCTCTTCTGTAAAATGGGCATGAAAATGCCCACTCACCCACCCATCCCACAGAATTGTGGCAACGACCTGTGCGCTCCCAGCCTAGGCATCCCGAAGATTTGGGTGGTCTCTTGGGTCTCCGTCTCACTGTCCTCATTATTCAGGAAGTGAATGAGACACTGCAGATGTCTCCTCTGAAGTGCAGAGAGAACCACCTCCCACTGGGGGCCTCGGACCCCTGAGGCTTAAGCGAAAGCTCGCAGATCGCCCAGCTCTGGCCGTGGCTTTGACAGGGGACGAGGCAGTCTGTAACTCCGGGGGCGCGGTGGGGCGGGTGGAAACCCGGGTTTCCCGACGCTGGCACCGAAGTCTGGGGCTGCCCTTCCCCGCCCTACCGCTCACGGTGGCTGCAAAGTGCCCTGGGAGGCCAGCCCAACGGCCGGGCTTGGGAAGCGCCTCGCTTACCTGCGGCTCCACTAGCCAGCGCTGCTCGGCTCCCAGGGGCGCGGGGCGCGCGGCGCGGAACGCCGAGTACACGGGGATACGGTCCCAGGTGCTGTACAGGGTGGCGAAGCGCTCGGCGCCCTCGGAGCGCTGACAGATCTTCACGTGGGCAGCGGCCGCCAGCCCCGCGGGCGGGGTCCCGGCGTAGAAGAATCGGTCGCATTCGCCGAAGCCGGCTTCCTGCTCGCTTACGAGCCGGCCCTCCAACAACCCCGCCAAAGCGAGGAGGCCGCCCAGCGCCAAACAGCGCGTGGGGCCCATGGTGCGTCTGCGGGCCGGGCGGGGAGAGCGCGAGGCCGCCGAGCGGGTCCGCGGGGAAGTCGGAAGCCGGGGGCGGCGCGGCTGAGCTAGCGCTCTGCTGGCCGAGCTGGGCGTCCCCGGCGGCAGGGGCGGGTCCGCGTCCCGAGGCCGCGCCTCCCTCTCACCCTCCTCCCTGAAGATGGCTGCGCAGGCCCGGCGCCGGGCGCGGGGATGCACCCGGACTTGCACCGCCTGGTTTCTGCAGTCTGCGCTCGCAGGCTCGGGGACGCGCGCTCCCAAGACTGAAAGGTATGAACCGGGTCGGCTTAATCGGAGGAAACGGGAAGGAACCTTCCCTGGGGCTGGGAGCCTAGAAGCCTCCTGAGCCAGCGCGCCTCAGGGATCCTCAAGGATGCAAAGAGGCGGCAGGAGATGCCCACAGAGCTGTGGCTCTTTGGCTCTGATGGGCAGGGACCCCCAGTGACATCCGACGGAAATCAGTCTCCCCCTTCCCAACGAAATGCTCATCCGCCAACACACGGACACAACTTTGATGAAGTTTCAGCAGATCAGAAGCCAGGAGACCCAAGTTAAAAATCCTCTTCTAGGAAATTCCTAACCTAGGGAAATAGGACAGCTCTTGTGGTTTACTTGGTGCTGCGAGGCTTAGAATCAAAACCAAAACCAAGAAAGAAACGAGACCGGCCAACATCACTGGTTGGTAGGTTGGTTGATTCATATTTCTTTCTTGAGTGCCTATGTGCCAACCTGGGTTCAGCGACTGGGTACAGTGGTAAACAAGAGTAGGGTCCGTGCGGTCCTGCAGACGAAAACTAGTGGGGAAGCTTGTCCTTAATCAAAGAAACAAGCTATTAAAGGAATAATGACACACACTGAACGTGGAGCTCTGAGAACCTGCCTCTCCGGGGATTCAGGGCGTGTTTGCCTGAAGAGTGTTGTCTGGTCTGAGACCAAGATGTTGACATGAACTAGGCAAAGAGGAAAGCAGCATGTGCTAAGGGGTCTCCCAGCAGAAGGGAACATGATATGTTGGAGGAATTTAAGGAAGGTGGGTGTGGGTAGAGAACAGAGACCTGGGAGAAGGTTATGAGAAATAGGGCTAAAGGAGGCAGGAGACACAGCATTCAGGGGATCATAGGCTAGAGGCCATCAAACATTTTTCAGCAGGACACGGACCCATATTGAGAAAACAAACTTCATGAAATAATCCTTATGCTTAAAACTGACATTGCAATCTAGTATTTCTGTTGTATTCTATTTTTTTCCCCTTTAAAAAACATGCTGCTGGTAACCCACAAAGTTGTTTCTATGACCCACTAATGGCTCATGTCCTGCAGTTTGGAAAGAAATATTATCTAAATCATGTTGAGGATTTTAATCTTTCAATGGCGTAGACACAATCACATTTGCTTTCTGGGCAGAAATGGGCAGACTGGAGTGGCCCAGAATGAATAAAGCAAAACATTTATAAAGATCCAGATGAGAGATGGTACCTTTACTGCGGTGGTGGTAGAGACAGAAGCAGAGAGCCTACTAGGGTGCCTTCACTCACATCTTATTATTTAATCTTATTTCCTCAGTGTGCCACGTGGGGAACTGGACCAGAGCGTTCAGATGCTTGTCCAAGAGGGCATAATCAGTGAGGCCTGAGCCAGATTTGAGCCAGGCCCGTCTGCTTCCTAAGCCTGACCTTTCCTCTAAGTCACAGCGAATCCATGAGGTGAGCCTATAAAATAGGAGAGAAATTGTCAGAAGAGCACATTTTGGAGCTTAAGAACCAATTCCTTGGAGGCTTCAATACTTGAAAAGTTTGCCTATGTTTGGCCCCTGAAATGAAACCTAAATTTATTTCTTAAAAAAAAAAAGACACATACAATGTGATGTCACAGTAACAACTAGACTTGGAGTCACATGTGCCTTCTGCATCCAAACTATCATTTTCAATTTCCAAAATTTATTCTGAGTTTGGCCACTTCTGTGCATTCTCAACACTATG